TCAACGATGCTCTGCAGCCGCATCAGTACCCACTTCCCCTACCGCAGGACATCTTCGCTAGGCTGGCGAACTGCAAGGTCTTCAGTCAAATCGACCTTTCATATGCGTTCTTGCAGGTGGAGGTGGATGAAAGCTGTCGAGAGGTGCTCACCATCAACACACATCGAGGTCTCTATCGGTACAATAGGCTTCCACCGGGAGTTAAGGCAGCACCCGGAGCGTTTCAGCAGCTTGTGGACACAATGCTCGCTGGACTCAACTGCACTTCGGGGTATCTCGATGATGTTCTAGTCGGCGGAGTCGACGAAGCGGACCATTGGCGCAACCTTCAAGCCGTCCTTCGTCGAATTCAGGAGTTCGGATTCACCATTAAAGTGAAAAAGTGCTCGTTTGGCCAGCGTCAAATCAAGTATCTGGGACACCTCATCGACGGGCAAGGTCTGCGTCCGGATCCAGTAAAAGTTGAATCTATCTGCAACATGCCAGCACCGACAGACGTTTCTGGAGTTCGATCGTTTCTGGGAGCGATCAATTACTACGAGAAATTCGTCCCGAGTATGCGTACGTTGCGATATCCGCTGGATGAGCTTCTCAAAGCCGACAAGAAGTTCGTTTGGTCAGTGGAATGCGACAAGGCCTTCTCCACCTTCAAGCAGATTCTCACTTCAGATTTGCTTCTGACGCACTACAACCCGCAACGCGATATAGTGGTAGCAGCGGATGTGTCATCGGTTGGAGTTGGTGCAACCATTAGCCACAAGTTTCCAGACGGGTCGATTAAGGTCGTGCAGCACGCTTCTAGAGCACTGACAGCCGCCGAGCAAGCCTACAGTCAGCCAGACCGTGAGGGGCTCGCGATTATCTTCGCTGTGACCATGCTCCACTTCTTCGGATCTTCGGGTCGAAAAATGGCATCCCAGTCTATACGGCGAGCCGGCTACAACGTTGGGCTTTACAGTTGCTGCTCTACGACTTCAACATTGTTTACGTGAACACAACAAAATTCGGAAACGCCGATATCCTGTCCCGGTTGATCGATCAACACGTCAAACCAGAGGAAGACTTCGTCGTAGCCAGCATCATCACGGAGAACGATGTAAGATCCATTGCATTAGTCCAGCAAGGTTGGCCACAGTTAAAAACGGCCATTTCGGACCGTGAGATCCAGCAATTCTTCAACCGAAGTGATTCGCTATCTACGGTTCAAGGGTGCGTGATGTTTGCCGAACGTTTAGTGATTCCGACCGATTTCCGGATGCGTTGCCTACACCATCTCCATCGTGGTCATCTGGGTATCCAGCGCATGAAAGCGATTGCACGCAGCTTCGTTTACTGGCCGTCTATCGACTCGGATATCGCTGCGCATGTCAAAGCGTGCCGTCACTGCGCAGTTGCAGCCAAGAGTCCCTCCAAAGCACCGCCGCTGTCGTGGCCCAAGTCAACGTATCCATGGCAGCGCGTCCACATCGACTACGCTGGGCATATCGAAGGAGAGTACTTCCTGCTTAGCGTCGATTCGTACTCGAAATGGGTGGAAATCGTCAGAACCAAGTCGATAACAGCCACTGCAACCATCGGAATCCTACGAAGTCTCTTCGTTCGCCTTGGTATGCCAGAAACGCTAGTCAGCGACAACGGTACGCAGTTCACCAGTGCCTAGTTCGCACAATTCTGCCTCGAGAACGGTATCGATCACGTGACAACTGCGCCGTTTCACCCGTAGTCCAACGGCCAAGCTGAGCGTTTCGTGGACACCTTCAAGCGAGCGGTCAAAAAGATTCGAGAGGGGAGAAGATCAATTCAGGAAGCACTGGACACTTTTCTGTTGACCTACCGAACCACACCAAACCTGTCAGCACCACAAAGCAGATCTCCGTTCGAAGTAATGTTTGAGCATAGAATAAGGACCAGTCTGGACTTACTCCGTCCACCAGCCGTTCGGGAAACGACTGTTCAACCAGATTCAAGGTTGTTCAGTAAAGGTGATCTAGTATACGTCAAGGTGCACTCTAACAATTCGTGGAGATGGGCATCAGGAGTGATTCTGGAGCGAGTGGGACAGGTGATGTTCAACGTGTGGGTTAAAGACAGGCGCATGATTCGTTCGCACATCAACCAGCTGCGAAGCCGAACGAACGCCGACAGTAAGTCAACGTCTGGCTCGATTCCGTCCAAGACAGACAAGCAACAGTTGCCTCTGGACATCTTACTACGAGCCTGGAACCTGTACAAGCCAACCCAGCCACAACCACCAAGTCCATCCACATCACCGAGACCATCACCGTCACCGGTTGCACAAACGCCATCAACACTCGAAACACCGGATGAGCATTCGACGCTACAGCAAGTCTTGTCATCCACGCCAGCTTCTCCGAGCCTAGTTTGGGTTACTCCGGAATCGACAACTTCGTCGACAACAGACCTTGGTCAGCCGTCGTCTACGTCCGTAGTCCCATCGTCCTCTACAACAAGCTCTGTGCCACTTACATCAGCAGAAACCGAAACAGCTGCCCAGGTACCTCACCGCTCTTCACGTCTACGAAGACCGCCGATTAGGTTCGACCCGTACCAGCTGTATTAAGACGGGAGATGTTGGGAACATTGACATCCCTAACGATCGCTACCAACACCAACACTGCTGAGCTCACTGGTAGCAGCTAAGCTGTCACCCGTAGATGCGCGAACCAGCATAAGGAAGAAGAACAACACATCATATATGTGAGTCCGTATCGTGTGCGCTTCCCGCATGTCAATGTATACTTTTAGTTCGTCATTTTAATAAAGTTTTATTTGCTAGTTTACGTTCGCGTTCATTTTATTGTACATGATGTACACGGCCACACCGTCAGCGCGTTCGTAACACGGGCAAATCTAAGGATTCATTTACTTGGGGACAAAATCGATCTTGTTGGCAGCATACAACTCCAGAACCGCCTTGGAGTAGTGGCAGCAGGCCAAAAGATGATTTTGACTCTATGCTTGTGGATGAACGGTAATACACGCTTTTTCAGGCATTATTCGATGTAAACTTGGGATGTCATCGTCGAGAATGAGACGAATGGTTCCGGCAACAACTGCAAATCACTTGCCAAATCATGGCCTTCTTCGCGAACTTGTCGACAAACACGAACTTGAATCATCCTGGCACATCCCCACGTCCAGTCGCGATGTAAAACTTTTGACCGCTAAAAATCGAGTGGTTTGACGTATGTTTCGCCATCGATCAAAGTGCAGCCCTTGTCAAAAAAACGGTCGTACAAGAGCCTTGCACGCTTTTTAGCCACGGAATTCTGCTTGACGTGCCGGTTGGGATGTTTACTGGCTTTGTACGACTTATATGCTTCCCTGACAAAGATGTTGCGCACCGTTTGAAAGTTGGCGTTGTACCTTCTGGCCACATCTCGAATCGAAAAACCGGTGTTGGATTTAATGCACCTCAACACCTTGCTGCGCAGCTGACGATCCCCGGTTCCAGTTTTCTCGTAGGTCCACTGATTCCTTTCCACACTCAGGGTTTCCTTGTAGGTCTTGAGCACTCGACAAACAGTTGTTTTCGGTATCTTCAGCACTTTAGCCAGGTTGGAACCGGACCACTCCGGATTTTTCGGGTGTTTGTGCACAATATTTTCTCTTCTTTCGAGTTCATTTTGACGTTATTTCTGAACGCGATCGACTACTTTTAACAAACTTGCACCAGTTGATCTCTACACGCTTACTCTAGAGTACCCATTAAGTGACTATCTTGTACTCATTGTTAGAACTGGTTCGAAAATGTCAAAAAATGAGTATTGGAAATGGGAACTTTTTCCCATTCTTTGAAAACCTGTTCTGGAATAAAAATGACTAAAAGAGATTCATTATTGATTCAGTGCGAAAGTTACGATACTTTTAAAATCGCAGAAGCAATTGCAGCGCGGAAGTACAAATCAGTTATATTTGGCGGGAGTAGAGATTTCTCATAAGATTGGTGCATGTGCATGCGAATAGGATTTATTTTCTGACGATCGATAAAATGGAAGCCTGAAAAGACCAACTGAACCAAGAAGAGTACAGAAAACTGAAAGTTAGAATATTTTTCGTTTATTTAGATTTTAAGTTTGATACTAGCCTTAATCTATCTATTTTACAATTTAGGGGAAATGCAGGTAATGTCGGCCTAAGTGTCCCTAATTTGGGCCCATACAGAAATTCAGCAATCGACTAAATTTTCAATAGCAACCAAAAATATCCATTAGTAACGTCCCAATAACGCGTTCATCTAGATAAAATTGATAAATAGCAGATTTTCAGCGATGGGTCCAATCTTAGATCCATAGGCCAACATTAGAGACATTTCCCCTATCACCTGAAAATTTTAATTGAACCTAACCTGTGACTTGTAAGTGAGCTTCTACATCATCCGTTCCACGTGCTCGAATGTCAAATCATGACGGTGGAAAAGACTTACTCAATCGCCAAGCCATTCGTGAGTGCCGCTGCTTCAATGTTAAAGGCCCACGCACATTAGATCCGGCAAAGTGACAGCTATACCTATTGTCTAACTGTCAAATTTACGTCAACGCAACGCAAACGGATCTAATATGCGTGGCCCTTAAGTGTTTATTATTTAGAAAAGGGTATTCGATGAAAGGAGACAAAACTTGTAGTGGAGCCGACAAGTAAACATTTGGAACCACGGTTACACCTTTTTCCAAAAATATGAGTTTCGGAAGTGAAAACAGAAAAAAATATTCGGTGGCCAGTTCGGTAAAAATAAAAGCTACCACTTGCACCAATTTTTTTTTTATCGAGAATGGTTCAAATTTTGTACTAATCAACATTTTTCGGTTTTCTGCATATAAACATTTACTGTTAATCTATTTGCATGTTTACAACATTTTCCGTAAAATCGTGGTTCGAAAATCTATCGAGGGTCGGATTAGTGCGAGTATACTGTATATGGTTCTATAAATTCTAACGCTCAAGTTCAATAATACAATACCATGCAAATGCGTACTCACAGTTTATCCTTCCGTTGCTGGCGTTTCTTCTTGAAGGCTTTCTTGACCCGCAGCAGGAGGAACGCTGCCCGATCGATGCTGAGAGAACTCTTGCGGGGTGGTGGCGGTACATCTTCCATAGTGGTGCCGGTGCTGGTGGCTGCGTTACCGGTGACAGCCGACGAAGGAACCGATGGTGCTACTTTGGGAGGTGACGGGTCAGTGGAGGCGTAGGCAGCAGCAGGATTGGTCCCGAGCTGGGAGGATCCACCAGACGAGACACCGCTACTGCCACGCACACAGGCGCCGAATGAATTCACCTTTCTCGCGGGGCGCACTCTCACTTTCTCGAAAAAGATAACGAAAGAATCTACAATTTTCTTTTTCACGACCGCTTACTAGTGAACGATGTACTTGAACGTCATCAAATGCCTATCAATATCATGGTTACGCTTGAATAAAATCACTTTTTAGACGCATGCTTGTTATCACCTGCGCCATAACCTAACCTTCCGTACCGAAATCACTTTCCATCAGAAGGAACATTTTGGCACCATCACAAAAATCGCACCCGGAGGCAACCAACCGAACGATAATCTTGCTTTAATTGTTATAAATTTAGCACTCTGACATCACCATCATTAGCATAAATACGAACGAGCGGCTCTTCCAGTAGCGGTAGCAGATGGCAGCACTGTTTACCGTCCCACGAACGACGGGGCCGATCACAGAAGGTTGCTGCATTTTCCTGATTAGAAACACTCATCCGGCATGTGTGTATGTAGATGGCGCTGCCGATTTAGGGTTACAGGAAGTGATGACGCTTCGGCTGAAACGAGATAATATTTCACACGAGACACGCCGTTAGTTAGTTAGTTCACTTGGAGGTGAATATAATTTTGGCCTGGCTATTTACAGTAGCCAGCAACGATTAGCATTTAATGATTATGAAGCGTTGTAATGCGATGGAAGGGAAAGGGGGGCAAAGTGCTTAACGATACATAGTGGCTCTCACACTAAACCGATGCGAACTAGTCTGACTTGCGACATCCAACGCCATTAACGACATTGACGACAGTGATGCCAGCGAGAAATTTTCTCTCTGATTTTCAGTCCGAAGCACTGACATAATTTCACTCGAAATCATTATGAAATCCCATTTTAACCTTTATAGCTTTAGTTGAATAGTAAGAATTCCATAATTCAGATTTTTATCAGGAACTCAGATAACTTCAATACTTTACATATAAGGGAAATGGATCTAATGTTGAGCTATAGATCTAAGATTGGGCCCATTGCTAAAAATCTGCTATTAATCAATTTTATCTAGATGAACGCGTCATTGGGACGGTACTAATGGATATTTTTGGACGCTATTGAAAATTTAGTCGATTGCATTTAGGCCGACATTACATCCATTTCCCCTATACCATACATCGCAAGTTCGGAACATGTCCGCATGTGACCAAATGTGGTCCAACAGATTAAACAAGACCATGAATAGATTAGTCATTACATGTTGATGCTGATGTGTCGTATGACCGGTTTTGCTATTATGAAAGTTCTGGCCTCTTCCACGTGGGTATCCGGAACCTACTGCAAAGTGCCCAAAGAAACTGGTGGGTCTCAACATGTTTCAGTTAAACCCACCTGTAAGATTCTACTACAGAGTTATATGAAAAGTAAAGGGTGTCCCACATTAAATTGCATTACGGAAAAAACGCTTTTGAAAATTTCCTATTGGGTATGTTCTATTTAAAATTTGGGTAGAAGTAGTTTAGAGTGTATTGTTTACACTGTATTTTTATCGCTGTCAGTTTTTCGAAAGTTGGAAAAAACGGCGTCATCCGAAAAGCAACGTTGTGTTTTTATTTTGCGCAAGCACCTGAAAAATCCTCAACACTTTCATCGGGACATCGGAAAACAACTCGGAATCGTGCAGTCAACGGTGAGTCTTGTGATTAAACGTTACTACAAAACTCTGAGCATCGAACGGAAGGAGAAATGCGGTCAGAATGGATGTTCTATTAGTGGTCAGGATCACAAGCGTGTCGTGAAAGCGTTTAAGCGGAATCCCAATGCTTCGGTCCGGGATGTGGCCAAAAAGTTGAATCTGTCCAAGTTTTTCGTTGAGAGATCCAAGGACCAGGAGGGACTGCATACGTACTAAGTGCAGAAGGCTCCAAATCGTGACGAACGGCAAAATATGGTGGGAAAGTCACGAGACGAAGCCTCATTGTCTCATGGATGAGACTTACGTCAAGGAGGACTTCCGGCAGTTGCCGGAGCTACTGTTCTTCACCACCCAGCACAAGTTTGATGTTCCGGAGGCAGTAAAGATGCAGAAACTTTCAAAGTTTGCCAAAAAATACATGATTTGGCAAGCGATCTGTCATGAAGCAAAGGGAGTGCGCCGTTCGTGACTACCGGGACTGTAAACGGGGAGATCTACCTCAAGGAGTGTCTACAGAACTGTCTACTTCCTCTGTTGAAGCAACACGAAGGCCCTACGATCTTCTGGCCGGATCTAGCCTCGTGCCACTATTCAAATGTTTTCCTCGAGTGGTACGAAGCCAACGGGGTCACTTTCGTACCCGAGGACATGTTCATCTCCACATCGAACTCCTACACGACGTTGATTCGTCACGTCTCTATTTGGCTGCGGTTGATACGATTGCTTCAGACACCGGAGGATTTTCCAACTGGTTTTCTAAGAGCGGAAGAGCTACGGCAAGCAGAATACACGTTGATACGACAGGTACAGGAAGAGGTATTCCCGGATGAGCTACGAGCCGTTCGGAAGAAGGAACCTGTCACTTGTCAGTAGAACGTCCCCACTTCGCTGGTATCATCCTTATGTTTGCGAAAATGGCATTCTACACTGAGGAAAATAAACGTAAGAATTTTATGAGAACCACTTATGATTTTTCGCCACAAGGTTTTATTATGTAAACAAGTATTATAAAATGGAGCAGACAGGATGCAAACCTTGAGTGTTCAGATTATTGCGTCCGTGATTTGCGCTCACGTATATCAACGCTTGGGAAATCGGATAGGCTGAAGACGTTTATCTTTTATATAAAAACCACCCAATGCCCGATACCAGCTGGAGGAATTCATTCGTCTATGGAAGGATGCTGATCATCGACAAGACGTATTCAGGTTCTGTGCCAACGAAGGGATTTGTTGGCATTTTAATCCTCCCGGTTCCCCTCACTTAGAAGTTCTAGGTGAGGTGGAAAGTAACCTCCTTGACCGTTATAATGCGCTGCTACTGCAAAAAAGCTATGGTGCCTTGTAGCAACAATCAATACGAAACTAACGATTTTAAATTGGCTCACTACTTGACTAGCCTATTGGTCCCAAGCAAATCGATTAACGAACCCCATTCTAGTATAAATTCCAGTACTACACTATGTTTGTTTTGATTTGCTATGAAAGTTTGACAGATAAAATGTGGGGTTAGTGAAATTTCCTATGTTTCGAGGGGTGAATCGATTAGCTTGGGACCGAAGAGAGTACCAGAGCTGAGCCAAAAAGTTGAGCACGGTTCTTCGGGACCTACTAGTCTTAGAGTTACCTGTATGCTTGTAGTCCGTTCATATTTAGGCAGATATGCTAAATTTCAGTGCGATACTGCCTTTAGTTTTGTTTTGACGTGTTTGGCACCATGTTGAGTATGGGTAAAAATTCGATTTTCGTTCCCTCATAAAGCATTATTTTTTGAGAGGCAAAACGGTGAAGGAAACAAAAGAAAAATTGGATAAATATTACGGGGCTAATGCTCCGTCAGATTAAATCGTTAAATATTGGTTTCGAGTGTTTCGTGGTGGCCGCAACTCCACTACCGATCAAGTCCGCATCGACAGGCCCTCCGATGCGGTTACAGAGGACAATGTCAAAAAAATACATGAAATGGTGTTCGCTGATCGGAAAGTGAAGGTGCGCGAGCTAGCAGATAACGCAAAGATTAGACGCCATATTTTGGGCGAGATTCTGCATATGAAAAAGTTATCCTGCCGCTGGATGCCGCGCAAGCTCACTCCTGACCAAAAACACGAACGCGAGAGCACTTCAAAAGAGTGTTTGGACTTGCTGATGCGAAATCGGACTTTTGGCGTCGATTGTTAACTGTTGATGAAACCTGAATCCACTATTACACACCGGAGAACAGAATGAGTGCGCGGCATTGAACTGAAGCCGGCACGAGTGCTCCGAAGCGGCCGAGGGAGGCTCGATGGGTCGGAAAGGTTATGGCGTCGGTTTTCTGGGATTGTCTTGGCATACTCTTCATGGACTACCTCGAAAAAGGAAAAACCATCTACAGCGAGCATAACTGTGCATTATTGGAGCGATTGAAGGCCGAAATCGCTGTAAAACGGCCTCACATGAAGCGAAAAAAAAAATTGTTTTTGCAAGACAATGCACCGGCGAACAAGAGCATCGTAACCACGGCTAAAATCAATGACTTACGGCTCCAATTGCTTCCGCATCCACCGTATTCGCCCGATTTGGCTCCCTCAGACTATTATCTCTTCCCAAACCTCAAAAGATGGCTCATCAATAAAAAAAGTAAAAAGTAGAAGGTTGTATCCAAGACACGACAGTAGATGTGACGTAGGATTACGAAAGGTAGTTTTGGTGTCACAGCAAAAGTATAGTAGGGTAAATGGATGTAATGTCGACCTAAATGCCTCTAATTTAGGCCCATACATAAATTCATCAATCGACAAAATTTTCAATAACGACAAAAAATATTCATTAGTACCGTCCCAAGGAAATTGATAAATAGGGGATTTTTAGCGATAGGCCTAATCTTAGATCCATAGGCCAACATTAGAGCCACTTCTTCTATAAATATATTAAATTGATTTCTTAACTCGTTATCACAGAAAAAGTTCGATAGATTGAAATTCGGAAACAATTTGAGAGTTCTGTTTGTGAGGTGCTCTGTCGATGTTCATGTAGTACATGCCAATCCTGAACGGTAGGTATGTCTTGGAGACAAGCTCTTACTCTTTAGTTTACTCTTTTATCAGTCATTTGTGGTCCTGAAAAGGACTGATGGGTTGGAAGCTTGGAAGCCAGTTTAGAACAATGTTGTGGAAATTTATGCTCGATGTTGTTGTAGGTGATAGCGGTGCGGAAATTAAATATGTATTGGAGAAAACACATCAATCACAAAATCTGAGCCTACCGGACGGTACCTACGTTTATGCTTTTTGATGCAAATTTTAAGCCTTAAGAGAATTCGACAAGTTTTTTTTTTTTTTCAATTAGAGGGGCTTAAAATTTGCATCAAAAGGCATAAACATAGGTATGGTCTGGCATGATCAGTGCTTGAAATCAATATTCAACGACTGTGTTAGGGAAACCACTTTTCAATTCCTCGTTTTCTGATGTCAAAATTACGCATTTTCGTGCACAAAACTTTTGGTTTATTCTATAGATAATAAAAAAAAACGGAAATTGATTAGAGGAATTTCTTGCTAAAATTTTTCAATCGTGAGATATTCGCGATCAATCTATATAAATTCGAGGTATTTTTTGCTTTTTCTAGCGTCCTGGATAAAACCTTACGAAGTGTTTCTGGTCATTTGACATAGTCATGTGGTATTCGGTCATTGAGAAAATTTGTCTGTACCACTTCAATACTTGACGCATTTGACCACAAACATTTGGTTGCTGGGTACATTATCAAAGAGCTTTGGGGGTAATGTGGCTGGCAGCAAGGCGAGCGAACGTTCAATGCAAATTAACTCTTAAACAACAATAATTTATGGTGGTCCTGAAAAGGACCGTTTTGTCGTGATGGTTGAGTAATGGCTG